ACGGTCTTGTTCATTGCATCTGATCATCCTTAAATATTCAACAGAAATATAGGAGGTTAAGTTTAGGTCCCAAATATGCCCTTACAAATGAAGAATCTTGAAATGATTGTATCAAATGAGGGGGAATTGGTATTTGGGGTTAAATATCAAATTATAATACAAGGCTTTGAAAGGTGTGTAATGTAGCTTTCTCTAATAAAGAAAAGAGACAAACTCATCATCTTTGACAATGGATGAAAAGGTGTGAGAGTGGGTGATGAAATGACAATTAAGGACATTAAATAAAACCATGAGATGGAGCAAGAGGGCCACTAATTGTGGTGCTACAACTTGAGAAGGGTTTTTGTGGGATTAGAGGTGGAGCTTTAGACTATTAAATATAACTCATCATCTATATCTATATCTTTATGTTTCAATCTCCATACATACAAGTATACATACATATATATACATAGGGTTGGGTTCACGTGAGACCAATGAAGGTTCAAATGCGGTGACTCCGGACTATCTGCAAAGTAGGTGGTCGTCCTGAGATTAATTGGCTCGCATAACGGGTTGAATATCCAGGTTAATAAAAATAAATCAAAACAAATAAATCCCTAAAGAATATATTAATTAAAGGTGGATAAATAATTATTAATTTATTACATCGATGGTGTAGCATGAAGCAATATAATTCTAATATTTTATTTGTTTTAAATATGGTGGTTTGGTAAATTCAAGATTCTATGCTAAATGTATTCTTATATGCTAGGAATATGCTTCATTATTTTATTATTGGAAAACTATGCTTATCATTCACTTCTTTCAATTCTTCCATACCCTCTCCCATACTACCACATTGTATGTTTCTTTAAATGTCAAAACATGTTGGTGCGAAGATTGGAGATCATATAAGGCGTAGAAAATGTCATAGAGAAGAACCAGATGATTCACGAAAGCATCATCCATGATCAAATTCGACATTTCGAGTACGCGCGCCTTTTTTTATATAGACAGTAGTAACACAGGTAAGACAAACATCTTTATATGAACCACAATGGTGGTGCTTGATTGGTTTGAGCTTGGCTCCAAAGGTCAAAAGTACCGTTAGGTCCCAGGTTCAAATCCAAGGAGAAATAAAAATCTCCTTGTGGCCACGGAGGTTCAAATGCGGTGACTCTGGGCTATCTGCAAAGCAGATAGTCGTCCTGAGATTAGTCGGCTAACATAGCGGGTTGGATATCCAAGTTAATAAAAAAAAAACATATTTATATGACATCCAGAGTATGATTTTCATATATGCCAAGTAATAGGTGAATGATCACTTGGAAAGAAAAGTCTTCAACTGTTTAACTGCAATGTAAGGTGTATTTGTCAACCTCTAACTAGTAATGTTGTTACCTGGTCTTTATCACAACTGGGTGTCATCGCTGAACTGCTTTAACTTCCACCAACTTCTCTTCAGATTAGTCGTTTGCTTGGTAAAGGTGTTCAAATTAGTACCAGTTAAACTTTGATTACCTCAATAGAAAAACACAAGCATAATTTTTTAATAATAGAATATCGGAGCATATTTTTGATTTATGAGGGTACGTTAGACATATATCCAAGTTTCCTTTTTTTGGATTGTCAGAAAATGTAATATTTTCAGTAATATATCTGTATAGGTTTACGTATAAGTAATCACTTATAATGTACCCATATAATGTCACATGATGTAAAAATCGAAATTTATGTTTGAATTTAAAAGGATAAATATGGTAAACTCCGTTAACTTATTTTAATGTTGAAACACGAGCTTCTAAAATGCACTTTGTAAAAAATTATTAGCTACCAAATGTTCATGAGATTTCGATGGAATCTCACGAATATTAGATTTAGAAATCTCATTGGGTAGTTGGTATTTTACGGGATTTTGTAACACCTCATCCCATATTTGAGTAAAACACACATATTTCATATAACATGAAATACAAATAATACACACTGGTTACAAATATATACATCATTACTTGCAAAAGTAGCTGCAAACTTTTTCTCACAAATTGTATGACTTGAATAATACAACTTCACACATATCATGTATAACTCAACTTCCACAAAATTCATAGATGTAAAACTATAACACTTCCACTCACATCTTCCACTTCCCTTTACATCCCGAATGTGTCTGACCTGTAATACACATTTTTGAAAACAAAATGAATGTTAGACCGTAACGTCTAGTGAATAATCCATTGATAGCTATTACATAGTGGAAATCACCAAAACACTTTTGGAAAACCAATCTTTGAAAAGTTAATAAAAATTTATCGCATCAAACCTCAACTTGACGTATCATACAGATGAAACAACCATTTCATCGCATCACAAGGATGAGATAACCCATTTTATCGCATCAAACACATGCGATAAACCGAACTTGTTGCACCATACTGATGTGATAAACCCCATTGCCGCACTATACTCATGCGATAAACATACTTGTCACACCCCCATTGATGCTATAAACACACTTTGTCGCACCACATTGATGCGATAAACCATTTCATCGCATCATACTGATGCGAACATATCATTTTGTCGCATTGCACTGATGCGATATAATCAACTCATTGCATCATACATATGCAATAACAGTAACTCATATGTATACAAATTTCATCTTTAACAAACCGTTGAGTATGCCACACTTATTTCAAAATATACACCTCTTCTGATTATGCCACCCTTATTTCAAAATATACACTTCTTTTGATTATGCCACCTTTATTTCAAAATATACACCTTTACTGATTATGCCACTCTTATTTCAAAATATACGTCTCTCCTGATTATGCTACCCTTATTTCAAAATATACACCTCTCCTGATTATGTGATCCTTATTTCAATCAATTTATAATACAATACTCAAAACTCAATTTATGCTAACAAATAACAAAATATCCAACTTCTTTCTTACTCTTATCTCCAACTCCAAGTAATAAGTAAACAAGAAAAAGAATATAACATTTATATATATTTTTGGTAAGAGCCAGTGGGATTAAAAGATTTTTAAATCAATATTTTCAAAACACACCCCTCCACTTCTCACCATTTAACAAAATCCACCCCAAGTTTCCAATCAATTCAAAAACCCTGCTATAACATTTAAAATATCTCAAAAACATTTTACCAAATCAAATATCACTAATGTTTGATTAAAAATAATAAATAGTAATTAGTAAATTCAAAAATAAAAAAAAATTGTTTGATTTTATATAATATAATAAACCAAATTCCTTACAGACCTTAATTTTAATTTCAAATTAAATTATAAAAAGAAAACAGTTTAATTCTATTTATATTTTGAGCTGAATGAAACAGCCCTCTAAATAGAAAGTAAGAAGTGGAGTGTTAGGGTGATTACATTACACCCCCACCTAACTAATGGCATTATGTAATGAAGGACAGAATCTTTAGGTAAATGCAACCCATAAATTGACTGTTTCAACACCAACCAAAACAATCTTGAAATTGAGGGTGAGGCTGAGGCTGAACCACCACCAAACCCATTAATCTATTCTACCTTCTGCTTTTACCCTTGTACTTTTTCTATAAGATCTAACTCATGGATTCCCTACAATGTCAAATGTTTGATATGCCATTACACCTTCTCCTCCCCTCTCTTTTTATCTGGTTTTTTAACCGTTACTGTCTTGATAATAACAGATAAAAATTCTTTAGTTATTTTATGAAGATATGAACGGTCAACATACGAGAAATAGTTACATTCGCACCTTTTTTTTTGCTACTTGAGTTAGTCTTCAAGTTCCTATATGCTTTTCGGTATATAACTGAAAAATGTACTCTCAACAAAATACAAGAATCGGTCGAGTGTACGGAAGAATGGCTTGATTTTTGTTCGTACGCTGTCTTAGGAGTTTTTCATGGCTATGCCTATTCATTTTCTTTATGGCATTATTTATCTACAAACTTTAATTATAAATGTAACCGTCCAGAACAGTAATTACAATATTTTTTTTTATGTAAAATTGTTAATATTTAAAATTTTAATTCAAACTCTATTTTTTTATTAACCTGGATATCCAACCCGCTATGCGAGCTGACTAATCCCAGGACGACCACCTGCTTTGCAGATAGCCCGGAGTCATCGTATTTAAACCTCCGTGGCCACAAATAAATTTTTATTCCTCTTTAGATTTGAAATGGGACTTCCTCATAGTTTTGACCTTTTAAAACAAATAAAAACTTGTTTTGATAGTATATCTAAAAATAAAAACCGTTATAAATATGAGGTGGGTGTTTATGGGAAAATTTGTTTATTAAATAGAAAATAACAAAATGTATTTTTTTTCTTGATTTTTAATTAAAAATACTACATTTTAAGACAATTATTTATTAAAATAATATACATTGACTTTGTATCCTTATATAGTTTGATTAAAAAATATTAAATATTATTTAATACGTAGTTAAATAAAGATATATTAATTACTTGGTATCAGAAAATTAGGTAAAGAAATGAATGTTAGAAATATATAAAGCATGAAGTAATAATTATGGTAGAAATGTGAAAAAAAAAGGTGATAGAATTTGAAATTTCAAAATGGGTTGCAGAGATAGAGAAAAGACGTTAAATAGTAGTAGTAAAAAGAGGGGTTGGGGATTAGGGTTAGCGTGAAAGCGAACGCAAAGGCAGGCAGGCAGGCAGGCAGGCAGGCAGGGACGAAGGCCTGCTTGGCGTGAAGAAGAAAACAAGAACCCACAGCTTCACAGCTGCTCGGCTCGGCGTGCATTGGGACACTCACACACACAGGGGACCCCCTCATATATACATTATATACATACATACCCCATATATATATTATAGAGAGAGAGACATACAGGTGTAGAGAGAGAGAGAGAGCCAACGCCATTTGGTAAGCGGCCCAACCCACACACAAGTTTCTTTCCTTTCTTTGGGAAACTTGCGACTTTTCTCTTTCTCTCTCTGGTTAGATCGTAAAATTAAAGATTACCCTCTCCCCCTTCCCTTCTCTATTATCTCTTTCATATGTCATTTTGAACACAATTTCATCTTTGATTCTCCTCCCTCTGGCTTTCTTTCATTCAATCTCTCTCTCTCTAAACCCCCTCTGAAAAGGGGGTATTTGCTTCAAGAATCAGAAACCTGATTCTGATTGATCGTTTGTTCCAAGAAAAGAAAGACCAAGTCTTTTTTATCATCTTTTCGGAAAACCGTTTCATAATCTTCTTATACTTGTTAATCGTAGATCCATCGCCTATAATCTGCCTTCGTTTTTCTCTCTGGTATGTTCTTGGTTTCATCCATCATCGCCCACTTTCTGTTTTCTGGTTCTTGTTATCTAGGTTTTTACATTTTCTGTTCAAAGAAATTCTTCTTTTTCTGAGATGTTTTGATCGAGAGGCGAAAAACTTGTTTTGTTTTTGTGTAGGTTTGTTGGGTGTTATGTATATCTGGTTAGATTCATACCCTTTTGTGTATACCACTTGTTACGTCATTCCACTGTTTTCAATAGTTTGCCGTTTACCTGATTCTTGAAATTTTTCCTTCAGTTTCATCGACCCATGATGATGTTCTTGAAATAATGCTTGATGTTTCTGGGTTGTGTGTGCTTGTATTTGAGTCGATTGTAGATTAGGGTGTGATGGGTGCTCAATTTCTTGTTTTTGATCTTACAGATTCAAGTGTAGCACTCTCTGAGCTTAAAATTTCGGAAACACTTTTAGGTTTTTTCACCAAAATGTGTGTTTAAATGCTTTTCTTGATAAAAATACTTCATATGCAATTTTGACCGTCTTTTTGATGTAAAATTTGTGATTTGGGGTTTGATTTTCTGTTCTTCGCACCTGGTTAATGTTTTCTGTCATCTTCTGTATCTATCTCTTTCAGGTTTCTTGAAAATCTTGTGTTATTTTCTTGGTGGTTGGTGTAATGCAAGGACAGAGGGGTGCGATTGGTTCGTTTCCAGAAACCTTAGGATTCGATCATGGTTCAGGATCAAGTGATGGAGATCAGCAAATTTGCTGGGAAAACAACCTGCAAAACTCGCCATCAAACCGGCTATCGGATTATATGTCGTCTGCCAATGGAAGTGATCTATTTTTGGAGTCTACAAATCAAGAAGGGCAGGGCATAAGTATGTGGACGGTAGGTGAGGCTGGTTCGAGTTCTGGAACGAACCAAGTTAGTCATGGTCAGATTGAACCGAGACCAGACCGTGGGTGGCCGGCTCTAATGAAGTCCTGCCCTGAACCATCAGCAAGAATGCTACAATTGGGTGATCATGGTTCTTCAGTTCCTCATAATGTGCCTTTGACTTCGTTAGAGACGTTTAGTGGGTCGGCTACTGCTAGTAGTTCATCGTTTTCGGACCCTTTTGGACCGTCATCCGACCCTTTTGAAATGGATGATCGTCGGTTATCTCGGAAAAGAAAAGCTGTAGAATTAAGTGTTGGACAATCGTCTTCCGGAATCGGAAGTTCGAACACGTTAGAAAGACCCGAGGGTGGTTCGACCATGTGGCAGACGATCGCTGAAAACCCTCCTTCGGATAACCAGATCATTCCGAGACTCGGATTGGGTGTTTCTGGACTTCCTTTTGAGAACCCGGTTGCAGAAAACACTCGTAGAAACGTTCAGTTGCGGATTAGTTCTTCCCGTCAACAAGATCCGTTGCTGGCGAATAGTAGCAACAGACAATCGGATATATCGGCTCTTTATCCATCTTTGAGACTTAATCCTGTAGATTTTAGATCACTACCTGTACCAGCAACAGCGGAAAATTCGAATTCATCAAGTCATCAAGGACAGCCGGTTCTCCGGATTCCGGCATTGAGAAGAAATTTTCAGTCAAGTTCCAGGTGGAGTCGGAGTTCTAGCTCCCGAAACAATCGATCATCAAATCTTGTGATTCCCGAGCGGAATGAAGTTGATTCAAGAGCGATACCATCCAACATTTCCGATCATCCTCTATTTGCCCAACCAACTGAAATCAACTGGAGTGCAAATGGTGGTGGTGGAACTATAAGCAATGCTGGAAATGGTATTGCGGCCACCTCTTCTCAGGCGGCACCCACTCCATTATCTGCAGCACCGAATTCATCTGCTCACCGGAATCAGTCACATTATAATCCTCGGAGATTATCTGCATTTCTCCGGCGATCTTTGCTGTCTGCAACTGATTCAGAGGCTGCAGGTGGTCTGAACAGTAATATTTTCCCTAGAATTCCTCCATCTGCGAGTAGTTCCCAAGATTTAGGAATCCCATCTGCAGTTAGCATTCAAGGTCATCATCAGCAACAACAACCTCACTTGCGGACGTCCTCGGTGCTGGTGGGCAGACAGCTTGAGGGTGCTTTCGGTTTCCCCTATCTTTCACGTTCAATGATGGCTGGAAGTGAAGGAAGAGGCAGATTAGTATCTGAGGTTCGTATTGCTGTTACTCCATTATTAGTAATCTTGTTGCATATTTGTGAACTTCAGAAAATCGGTTTAAATAGTGGGCTCGTTGCAAAAAACAAATTGGGTTTATAGGACGCGTAATATGGCTAATGGGACAGCTTGATGAGTTTAATGGTACACGTAATATGTCTAAGGGACTGTCTGTTACCAGTTTGATGAGTTTAATGGGACTCATAGCTTATTCGCTCAGCTATTAGATGGCTGTTTGGGTGTGGATTAATAATATAAAAGGTGGCTTATTGGGGGTATCTTTATGCAGAAAGCCAAGTTTTTTCACCTCCTTTCCCAATTAAAAACACACTCCTTTCATCTATGAAAAAACCCACCCCAACAAAAACCTTGTCAATAATTAAGTCCTATAAGCAGTGTATTAGGACATTTAGACATATTTAGCGTTCAATTAAACCGATTTTGTTGTAGCTGCTTTCTTATTTTTTCATGGATTTACTTTAAGCTTTTTCCGAGACCAAACCATCTCTATTTGGTGCAGATTCGCAATGTGTTGGATCTTATGCGCAGGGGCGAACCTTTGCGATTTGAGGTTAGATTTCAGCTTTCGTTTACCCGATTTCGTTTGCTAATTGGAGTTAATTTTCTAGTGCCTGTTTGTTACCAGCAAGGGAATCTGCATCTTATTCTGTTAGATATAGATGATTGTTTGGTAGTGACTTGGTTATATAGAAAGTGGCTTATTCAGTAAGCTTCTGTAGAAAGCCAAGTTTTTTCCAAATCAGCTTCTCTCAATTGAAAAACACGCTCTTTCTATCTATGAAAAAACCATCCTACAAAAAGTCTTCCCAATCGATATCGACAATTTAGTGCTTTATCCATACGAGACTTGATAAAAGACCCAACCGAATAGCCCCTAAGAGATATACTTTATGTTGATACAGGATATTATGCTCTTAGATCAGTCGGTCTTCTATGGGATTGCGGATGTTCACGATAGGCATAGAGATATGCGGCTTGATATCGATAATATGTCATATGAGGTAACCATTTTCTTCACCATTTCTTTTAGAAAAGTTGGTCTTCATCATAACATCTGTTCGGGGTTTCCAGGAGCTATTGGCGTTGGAGGAACGCATCGGAAACGTGAACACCGGATTAACCGAAGATGCGATTTCAAAGCATCTCAAACAGAAACAGTACGTGACTGTAACAGGTCAGCCCGATGCAGAACCATGCTGCGTATGTCAGGTATAAAACTATTATTATTTCAAAAATGTTCTAAAAAACTTGTTAGATACGTCGTGACTGTCGAATTGAAATGTCGTTCAAAATGGTGACGTGTTTGTTGATCTCAGGAGGAATACAAGAACGGGGACGATCTTGGAACGTTGGAGTGTGGGCATGAGTTCCATCACGGTTGCATCAAACAATGGTTGCAACACAAGAACTCGTGCCCGATTTGCAAGTCGACGGGCTTCGGTGCGCCGTGAAGGGGCGATGGAAAATGGGGTAGGAAGAGCATACCATTACCATACCATTGGGGGCATTAAGAGGTCTGGTTTATGTTGTTATTTTTTGGATTCATGAACCAAAATTAAGGAAAAGGGAAGGAAAGACACAACTTATGTCGATTTTCCATTTATTTATTATTATTATTATGCTCATCACCAAGTTCAAAGTTTTGTAGTTGCTCTCTTTGTTTTAAGTTCAAAGTATATACTCCAAATAAGGGTTTCATCCAATTTAATTTAATAGATTATATCATATCACTTCATTAGTAACAATCGGTTATAAATGCACGAAAAATCTCGTAATTACTAACCAGAGATCGATTCAAACTTGTCACAAGAAATTGTACCGACTTCAATGTAGGGATTCGTATTCTGTTTATTAACATAATAAGCGTGATTCATCACAAAAAAAGTTGTTGGTGTGTAATTCAAATTTTCATTGATGTTTTTGAAAAACATTGGATTCTTATGTACGTAGTCGTCTAAAACGTGGTCCAACACGTTTTAAAAGTTGTGAGATTTTTCAATGTTGTTCTTACAGCTTTGGGGTAACGATATCCGATATGGTTTATGTTGGTTATTATTATTTGCTTTCGATTATATATATATGAAAAAAAATCCAAGATAAAATAAGTAAAATGGTCCTCCCTGGTTTATTTCCTCTTTCCTTCTTGGTGGAGTCTCCAAGATTTCTTGATGGCGTGAGAAATATTGAAGAAAACAAAAGGAAGAAAAAGAAACCTTCTTCTTTAATATCTTATCTGTTTGAACACACTCCTTCATCTCAGGAAGAAGAGATAGAGATAGAAAATGGGCATTTTAAATGAAGATGCAGTCTTGTTTCTAGGGTTTCTTCTTCTCTTTCTTTTATTTTTGACAAAACGATAGGCGTCTCTCGAATCAGTAATCGATTTGGTAAAACGACAATAATCAGAAATCGATTTGGAAAAGAAATGTCTTCTTCTCTGGAGAAATCGTTAAGCAGAAATCAATTTGGTAAACGACAGGCGTCAGAGAAATCGTTACGAAACAAATAAACAGAAACTGGAAGTATCAGCAGTAATCGATATGCAGAAACTGGAAGCAAGCAGAAATTGTTAAGAAGAAATTGGAAACAACAGCAGTATTCGATAAGCAGAAACTGGAAGCATTAGTAGTAATCAATAAGCAGAAACTGGAAGTAAGCAAAAATCGTTAAGCAGAAACTAGAAGCAACAACAATAATCGATAAACAGAAACTGGAAGCAAGCAAAACCAATTTATACAATAAGCATAAATTTACACAATAAGCAGAAATAGGAAGCACATAGTAATCGATCGATGATGAAATTGGAAGAGTGTATTTTTGTCATTTCTACAATTTGGGATGGAATGGATTTCAATTCCATCACTTTTATGAAGAAATATTGAAATCCTCAAATGGGGATATGTTTGGAATTCAATTCCATTCCATGGGTAACCAAACGTTGGAACGGAATTTGGTCAACGAAATTGACCATTCAAATTCCACCAGATTTTGACGGATTCCGACGAATCAAATTCCCCCTTAAGGTTAAAGGGTCTCCCTTTTCTCTAAACGGGCCAAACCCTTAAAAGCCTATCGACTTTAACTAATCATTTAATTATTTACTTAATAATTAAGTGTATATTTAAGCCTTGGGCATTAATTATTAAACTAATAATTAATAATATATATATATATATATATATAATTATCATAATTATATTTTACACAAAATTATTATTACTTTACTAGAATAATAATAATTATGTTTTACAACATGTAACTGATTTGGTTCACAACCAACATGATTAATTCAAGATCTACATACTCATTGCATGCAACCTTCATCGGTTCATTTGACGTCAGCAATGTTTTCATATGATGTGGACACAAAGAAACTACAATTTGATCCAAAAAATCGTAGTTATAATTACGTCCCTATGATTGTTAATACACATCTACTTTTTCATATATAACAACATTAATACTTAATTTTTAAATGTCAATGTATGATTTGACTATATATTAACGGTACATGTAGCTTCATTCCAAAAAATATCAGAACAATTGAAATGACACGTTTTAAAAGATGGTGGTCAAATTTAAGTCTGGAATTTGTGGCCTAAAGTAATTGTGTTATTCTTCTAGTTTTACTAGGAGTGTTTACGTTACAGTTTAGACTATTTAACCCCCTAAACAATAGCCAAACCATAATAATGGTTTTAAAAAGTTTCCAAAAATGACGGTTTAGCAGCAAGTGACCAAACCAAACTACAAAAAAACAGTTTGGTCTAACTGGTTTAAATAATGACATGTATTTTTAATTAACCTGGATATCCAATTCGCTATGTAAGCCGACTAATCTTAGAACGACCACCTGCTTCATAAATAATTCAGAGTCACTGCATTTAAACCCGTACAAAAAGATTTTTGTTCATCATTAAATTTGAATATGGAACATCCAAATTAATTTTGTGAAATTTGGGGAGATAGATTTTTATAGAGAAATAAGTAAATGGGCAATAGTGTAAATGAAAACAGATTCGTACGTTTTATTACATTGGCTGATGGACATTCAAATGGTTTCTTAACTGACAACACTCAAGAATTCTTCATCAGATTCAAAAGCCGCCATGTTTTCCGGCAACAAGCAGACTTCCAAGTCCATGCTTCCTCCGCCATCCCGGCCAGGGTACAACGTCATCTTCCCGTCAAACTTATTAGCAAACCCGCTCAGAACCGCCACTCCTTTGCCCAACCCGAATTCGTTCCCATACATATCAAATCTCGGCGAGCTCCCCATATGCACGCTATTGGGATCAAGAAACTGACTCATTTTAACCACAAACGGCTTCTTTAACCACGAATCMRCWARTCCCTTGATCGYTTTMTCAYCATGGTTCACCACCGCCTCGTGCAACCGCCASGCCGCCCWCCCRAYRCYSTGATCCAGCAACTSCCCCGCCGTTGYTKTTCCTGTCACAMTSRRGACCATRTTACCGAAGTARYYTTCAGRYACCGGMGGGRRAAYTCTGCTCCTGTTGTTCACGGCCAATCTGCAGCCGGTTTCTTGATCCGCCGGTAACTGCCGGGCACGAGTGACGCACCGCCAGACAAGGGCCGAGAGCCCCTGCAACGTGGAAATCTTGGTTGTATTGCAGTCTGAATTCACTTTCGCTTTGAGCTTAGAGAGAGAATCCGACGAAAAATGGAAGATTCTTTCTCTTAAAAATGGTGGACTATATCTTTCGATGAGTTCATCGTCATCTGTAAAAGGGAGGCTGATAATCGGATCAGATCCTGCCGGAATCAATCTTTCGAGAATCGGAGGTCGTGAGACGGGAGCTAAATGTCCGTTTTGTGTTTTTGATCTGAAAACTTCGGACCAGGAGTTGAAGAATTGCCAGTAGGAGGTTCCGTCAGCTACCATATGGTTGATAGAGCAACCGATGAAGATTCCGTCGATGAGCTCCGTCACCTGAATCGACAGCAACGATAGTTGGTGACCATCGTGAGAGATAGCTTCGTGGTGGTCGAAAAACGATTGAACAATCAACGGCACATCAGTCGGTTCAAGAACATCCGAGATCCTCAAATCGACAGTCGAATGAATGAATCTTGCTCCAGGGCTATTCTCATGATCCAAGAAGGCGACCAAAGAAGGTGGTTTTTGTTGTTTAACGGTGGCTAAACGGGCGGCGAGTGGGTGAAAATAAGTAAGCGTGGCGGAGAGAGAGTCTTTGAGGTCGTCGAGGAAGGTGGCGATGGAGAAATCTTGATTTTCCGGCAAACGGAAAAGTAGACCCTTTTGGATGTAGTTAAAAGAAAACAAAGGTAAATCCCATGGTGAAAAGTAAATGGGTTTCTTGGCTTCTTCTGATAAGATTTTTGGTTTGACGAAACAATCTGAGACGATTTCAACCGTTTGAGATTCCATTCAAGAACAATTAAGGAGGCTGAAGCTTTGATCAAAATAGATGAATCCTTATATCTATACTACATATATAAGCATTTATACTCATATATTAATTACAAAACATAAAAGCACAAATTACTCTCATTTTATGCATAAATTTCAAAAAACTCTTAAAAGACAACTCATGAAGCTAGATGTACAAGTTTTTTATGCTAAGCTTTTAAACTTAGGCAACCATCCAAAAACGGATGCTTCATAAGTTGCTTTCTTGCTTCAGTCCTATCTATACCACATATATAAGCATTTAGACTCATATCTTAATTACAAACCATAAGACACAAAGTACTGCCATTTTATGCATATATTTCAAAAAACTCTTAAAGACAACTCATGAAGCTAGATGTACAAGTTTTTTATGCTAAGCTTTTAAACCCAAGGAACCACCCAAAAACGGATGCTTCATAAGTTGCTTTCTTGCTTCAGTCCTCTTCTTCCTTATTTCATGTATCTCCCTGCGTCAAAACTGGTTTCGGTAGGTTCAGATGTTGTTTTCTTCCCTCACAGTCTTCAGACGTTGCTTTGATGTATCACCTAGAACAGAGTTTCTTCCTTCAATCTTCACGTGACCGATTTGATCCCTTAATTATCGCTCCATATAACTCCCTCTTTGTGGTTTGATTTCTCTACCATCTCTTCAAAACCCTAAAGATTTCTCTGAGGTATGCTATTGATTTTAATTTCGATTTAGATTTAGAATTCCATTTCAGTTTTGATTTCCATTTCCATTTCGATTTGCAGCTGAAGATTTTTCAGACGTGATTTTGATTCCTCCGTTGATTCCAACGAGGTACGCTGATATTGGGTTGCTGGAAGTATTAGGTTCCGCTTTCTATTCAACCATAGGTATTCAAAGTTAATGTTAAATGCTTGATAGTGCACTTAAAATCACATTCAAACGTTTTATGGTCAATTATTTTTTTGTTTGGCTCTGTTTTACTCTTATTTTTTTGTGAATTAGTTGAACCCAATTAGGTTTACAAAAAAAAAAAAAAAAAAAACCAATTACATTGTTTTAGACTTATTTTTCGGTCAATCATCTGCTCTGATTTTTTTACTCCCTACTTCATCTTCTATTTATTTGTGTTAAATGAAGATAAGATTCAAAACCCTAGAATTCAAAGAAAATATTTCTTGATATGAATGCAGTTTTAACTATAAACTTCAAACATTTCATCTTGTGAAAAGCAACTGTTAAATGTCAGAAAATAATGAAGTTGTACTAATTTTTCTTTATGCCCTGTGTAGATACTGAACTCATTATCCTGTTTACTTGTCATCATCAGAGGTTCTTCTAGCAATTCCTCCGAATCCCAGGTGTGGAGCATTTATAGCATCCAAACTTTCAAATACTCCTATAGACTTGCAATGCTCCATGTAATTGTTTTTTCGTTGGGGCCATAGGGTGGTTTATCAGACTTGTTTATAGTCAACAATAGACTCTGTGTACAACACAGACACACACACACCCCATGAATGGTGATGGCATGTGCATAACATAGACACACACACACACACACACACAGAGACAGACACACACACACACAGAGAATGGTTGGGTGTTGTTGTATGACCCTATGTATACTAGAATCACGTATTATTAAATAATGTTTTTGGGCCTTATGATCATGATGTAGTTATGCACCACATGGCCAGATTACATATTCTGTTTTGTTTAGCCATATGCATATGCTTTGATCTAATCACACACATCGTTCTATCTATGATGAAGACCGAAAATATGTACGATCTTTGTACATTAAAACACCTTGCATTCTTGTTTTTTTTTCCCACTGTTTTGTTCATTCTTTTTACATGTTTTGTCCATTCTTTTTACATGTTTTGTCATGCTTCTGTCAGCATATCACACATATATGCATACTATTACTATATGTACATATATATATATATATGTACATATATATATATATATATATGTACATATATATATATATAGACTTGGGATCATGTGAGACCAATGGTTTTTCATGAGACCCGTAAGACCAATTCTCAATCCTTGGATTAGATCTATAATCTGACAATCTAAACATTCATAAACGCAACGAGATTTCTCAATAATCACAAAATTGTCACCGTGCAATTTAGACCGTTAGATCATTAACTTATAAAGTTGATCAATGACCATAAATTGGTCTTACGGGTCTCACGAAAAACCTTTGGTCTCACGTGAACCCAACCCTATATATATATATACATATATATATATATATCATATTAACCGGTTGTTTATAGCATCGTAAATTTGTGTATCATATGTATCCTGTTTTTGCTGTTGAAAATTTGTGTATAAAATCCATTAAGCGTTCCTGATGTGAAAGACAGCTACAATCAAAATAATTTTCAAAAACCACACCAACACATTGTTCTATCTATGATGACCACACCATCGCATTGTTCTATTTATCAATAGTCAATAAACACTTGTATAAAACTAAATTTATGGCTACCAAATTTCTACCTGGCTGTTGTTCCACTTGAAATGTCAACAACAGCAGTTAAATGTCAACAGCAGAGTGTTTTGTGTGTGTGTGTGTTGTACTTCAAATAGATAAATAGCTGCTAGACTTGCTGTTAATCAGTTTCTGTTGTTAATCTGTTGATTTGTCTCTGTTGTGTGTGTGTGTGTGTGTTGCTGTGTTGTGTTAAATGTCAACAGCAGAAATGATATATATACTCATCTTGATGTGTGTGTGCATATGTATTGTACATATATTTATAGAGTGTATAAACTTGCATATATGTGTGATGAAGCCTTTTTTTCATAATACATCATCAATGTGTTGTTTGCATAGTATACATCATTAATTTGTTGTGTGAGCATATGTATTTGTTGTTTGCATAGTATCCTCATCTTGATCCATAACAGAAATATACTCTTCTCTTTTCTCGGAAGCTTTCTAAGTTCATAACATGAACAACCATCTCCATGTTTTAATTCCTTATTGGTGAGCTCAAAGTCAAACCTTATCTTGAAGTAAGGAGCTATAGAAATGACAGTAAGAATTGGGGGAGAAGATACATATTACCACTCTTTGAGCTAATCTAACTCTTTGTAAACGCTGCATAATACATGTTTTTCTTCTAAAAGTTCACTATTTGCTAATTACAGTTTGTTGACTGAGTTTGATTGCACATGCCTTAAGTTTGATTGCACAGTCCAGACTTCAGACAACCAATTTTCAAGGTAAATCATGCCTTTTTGTTCATTGAACCTCTTGACTTCTGGAAATCCATCTATACGGTACTGAGTGATCTGCATATCTACTTCTTTTGTTTTCTCTTTGTTTTTCTGCATAACGGTCTTTACTTGGAGCGTTGCAGTCGGCTTTCATAGACACATGTATCATTTTCTGCATAACGGTCTTTTGTTTTCTCTTTGTTTTTCTGCATAATGTCTCCTTGATAAAGCTGGACCAAAGTGAAGATTGCATCCAAAACAACTTTATTTGCACAGTAGGTGCTTGCAAATGCAGTTTGGTTTGAGTCGATATTAAAAAATAGAGCCAAATTAGGCTCTACGTCCATATATGTCTAAACGTCGTCCAACGGTCACTCTGGAAGAACCAAGTGATCTTATTTAACACCTGTAATATGTATCCAAAGTTTCATAAAGATATGACAACAATATCTTAACCAAACTTAATTTAAACTCATTTTTGTTACTATAATTCACAGCTCAAAATCAACTTTTTATCAGTTTTTAGACGCAAATATAACCAACCTAGAAGCCTTATTTCTAAAAAGTGTCTAAAGGACAGATTTAGAGCTACATATAAGCTTTCTAAAATGTTCAGAATCGTAGCAATCCGAGCTACGGTTAAAAAGTTATTGCACATTCAAAACAGCATCTCGGATAGAATTGGTGCTGTCAAATTCACCAATAAATAAGCTAAAATCCGTATTTTGGATTCAATATTTATTCCAAAAATCAAAATACCATCTAACCATGTTTATATTATTGTTTACAAGATCAATACTCAAGAAAATAATAAAAAAGAAAGCACACTTACAAGGATAGGAAATTGCAACAATCACTACGAATACATATTGAACAGTGGTGTAACAAAACTTAGAGGCTGTCTACCAAATGCTCTTGTAGGTCTTACAAAAAAAACTTGTCTTAAAGCACCATTAAGAATCTATATTAAGATCTCAAATGTAACCTAGGTCCCGATTTCTCATAAATCTGCATCGTATTCAAGTGCCAATTCTCGCAAATCCACAACACATGATGCAGGTTCTGTAGAATTTGAAACTTCCAGTAGAATCTCCTAATAAGAACTTCAAATTAGCAAAGCTCCATTGGATAAACCAACAATGTCGAATGAAACCAAAACAACTTATAGTGGTTGATACTTATTCCCTTCGTTTCAAAAACATGGTAAAGTTTGTATTTTGATCCCAACATTTTCAAGTGATTCACTATATTTAAATTTACGTTAGCAACAAAGGCTAAAAATGCAACATGTTAATGTTGAAATCTAAAGAAAGATCACGATTGAATTTTGAATTGTAAGGTTTAACAAACAGAGTTTATATTGCCTTTAGAGTGAAGATAATACTTTTGACCAGGCCAAACAACAATACCTCCTCTACTTGTGTTGTAGCCTCTATGGATGTCAGCCATGTATTGATTAATAACACCACCCTGCTGTTGAATGCAACTGCTAGAAATTGATCTAAACGAAACTCAGATTTGAGCATTAATTGCATATCCAGTTACACAAGGTTATGTTTTGGACAAGATCAAAATTTTCCATCTAAGCCTATGTTTATCTGTTAACTAGTAAACTAAAAAACTCCCATTACAATTCTCTTCACTACCCGAAATGAAACAAGTAGACATGATTCCTAAATAATCGAAACAAATAAATCAGTCATTTAGAAACAAGAAGCTGTCATATTAGCAGAACCTTGTCATATTAGCATAAAACAACAAACTATTTAAATGGATTGTTAAGTAGAAACAGGACATATGCATACAACACCCCTGTGCCTGCTGTAATGCACACAGAGATCTGATCACACACACATTTAGCCACAAACATGTTCTGTCCCTACTGTTCCATATGGCTGTTCTTATCATTTTCTTGATTTATTTATGGTTGTGTGACCTTGCATCAGTGCATTTCATCTTATACACACATGATAAAACCATGATTAAACCATATACATACACATCTGTTGAACTACTGCTTACAGTGTTACAAAACAAACAATATTAGTGAAGCTTGTTAAAAAATTCAATCGTGCCGGAGTCTACACCTCAAACGTCGTCTATCAAGAAGTTTTACGTGATGAATAAGGTATAATCACAATTATATTATTATACATTTTGTATCATATGTTTCTATTAAAACCATTGCGCCATTTTTTGCAGGAAATATTTACGGATGAGTGCATCACGAAAAGCAAACAACAATTCGAATATACAGATGAACATTATTTTACGAACGATAGTATTTCTTTGTTCATTCAAGAATTTCAAGTTTTGTAATAAGCTCTGAGTAGATGGTTTCAGAAACCCGACATATGTGCAATTTTCTTTTCATTCGATCTTGCTAACAAACAAAATTGACCTTCAACTTTGTATATTAGTTGACCTGTAAAATAACCACACAAACTCATGATTCAAAGCCAAACTAATGTTTTCGAATTGTGATTTACCCGCGCTGCATCGCATGGGTACAGCACTAGTAATAAATGATATGGCGGCTCAATCCCAAGTAAATTAGGCTTATACCCTTAGTGTTTCATAAATGTTCTAGAATTTTCATCAATCGTGGTCTCTTTGGTGATATATTTCGATTGATGATTGTTTCTTTATTCTTTGATGTCGAATTTAGGGCTTCATTTATACATTTGGATTTCTCCATCGCTTAATAGGTTTTTTAACGTTTGAGCTCTCTTAATCAAATTTATTCTTCACTGGTTTTTGATGTTTGCCTCTCCGTTTTCTGTTTTTTTGGTGGTTTTCTTACACATTTCATCTTTTACCAAAAGTAAAATGGATGACTTCTGGTTTTTACCAAGAGTCTTAAACCAACGTAGGAGTTTTCCACATCGATTGATCATCTAAAATTTGCCAATGACATCTTGTGGGTGGCATATTTGGTGTTCTTTGTGATTAACATCTGTTTAAAAATAACCAAAATAGTTTTTCTTTCATTTCTATGCACGTTAACGAGAATATAATTCCATCCTCCATTAGATGGGTTTACGTATGTAGGTATATAAATGTTTATATACGTGTTTTGTGTATGTATATCAATGTGTTTACATTTGTTTTGTTTTGTAAATGCGTTTGTGTGTATATACGTGTTTTGTGTATGTATAT